TGGGAGAGATAAATTTTTACCTCTATTCTTTCTTCTTTTCTTCTTCTTCACCACATCATGTGTGGGTTCAATTAATTTTTTCAAACTCTTTGTTGAAGAGATTGATTGGATAGGAAGTTCCTCCTCGTTACCTGATTCATCATAATAAACACTAGGAGAGTATTGTGAAATATTTTCCATTTCATTAGTTCTCTCTTCATATTCTATTTGTTTTCTTGTCTTTAGATAGTTGGCAATATAAGGATTCTCAATGCAATTTACCGCACAAAACATATAAATTTCCTCTAGATCAAAATCAAGAAATCTCTTGAGATTAAATTTTGGAATACCCTTAGTTATACGTTTCATTTCTTCATACCCCAAGAGAAGACTAAGCTATTTATGATGCTCAAGGGTAATCAAGTTATCACAAATTTTGGACACTATTTGATCATGAAAGAATCTGCATTGAATATTTAAATGACCATGTTCAATGCAAAGTTCACAAGGATGGCGAATTTTTTTTAAATCTTTTAGCACAATCATCTAGCCTCTCTTGCAACTTTTTCATTTCTAAGTATTTATGCTTCTTACAAAATCTATCTTCCCTTTTTGGGGTGCAATTGCACTCCCAATTCTCTCCACAAAAAGTGACATCCCTATAAGAAACATTTTTGTCATGACTTGTGCAATCATCATTACCATTTTGGATATTCAAAGAATTCACACTAACAACATTGCAATCATGCTCATCATTCAAATACTTTGTGCCACACATTTTATTGACTTCCTATTCTAACAATTGAGCACAATTTTTAGAACCATCATTTTCAAGAAAGATATTATAAAGATGATCAATAATATGATGCAACCTCAATTCCAATTTTTGTTTTCTTTTTATAAACCAAACTAGTGATAAAACAAGAAACTAAAAGGTTCAACAGCAAGATCTAAAGATATACCTTCAAGCACTCACCTCCCCGGCAACGGTGCCAGAAAAGAGCTTGATGTCTACGGCGCAACTTTATTCTTGTAGAAACGTGTTGGGCCTCCAAGCGCAGAGTTTTGTAGGACAATAGCAATTTTTCCTCAAGTGTATGACTTAAGGTTTATCAATCCATGAGAGGTGTAGGATGAAGATGGTCTCTCTCAAACGACCCTGCAACCAAATACAAGAAATCTCTTGTGTCCCCAACACACCCAATACAATGGCAAATTATATAGGTGCACTAGTTCGGCGAAGAGATGGTGATAAAAGTGTAATATGGATGGTATAAATATATTTTTATAATCTGAATAAATAAAAACAGCAAGGTAGCACATAGTAAACGGGCACAAAACGGTGTTGCGATGCTTAAAAACAAGGCCTAGGGTCCGTACTTTCGCTAGTGCAATATCTCAACAGTGCTAACGCAGTTGGATCATATGATTATCCCTCAAAGTACAATAAAGAACCACTCCCAAGTTCCTATTAGCGGAGAACAAAAGATATAAATTGTTTGTAGGGTACAAAACCACCTCAAAGCTATTCTTTTCTGTTCAATCTATCCTAGAGTTCGTACTACAATAACGCAGGTTATTCTTTCTGATTGATGTAATCAAGAGTTCGTACTAAAATAACACCAAAGCAAATTCATATTCATAATACTCAACCCACACACAGAACTACAAGGAGACCCCAAAGTTTCTATCGGAGAAAAGATAATAAAAACGTGCATCAACCCCTATGTATAGATTACCCCAACGTCACCTCAGGAATCCGCAAGTTGACTGCCATAACATACATCAAGTGAATCAATATGATACCCCAATTGTCACAGCAAGTATTCATACCGCAAGACATACATCATGTGTTCTCATCTCCGAATATTCAATCTGACAAGACAAAACTTCAAAGGGTAAAGATTCAATTCATCACGACAAGAGTATAGAGGGGAAAAACATCATATGATTCGACTATATTAACAAAGACCATGATATAGATCACGAGAGAGAGAGAGAGAGAGAGAGAGAGAGAGAGACAGAGAGAGAGAGATTAAACACATAGCTACTGGTACAAACCCTCAGCCCTGAGGGTGGACTACTCCCTCCTCATCGTGATGGCCACCGGGATGATGAAGATGGCCATCGGAGATGATTCCCCCTCCAGCAGGGTGCCGTAGTGGAGCTAGATTGGTTTTCGATGGATACGGAGCCTTGCGGCGGCGGAACTTCTAACCTAGGTTAACCCCGACGGGTTTCGGGATATTTGGAAATTTATAGTGCAAAGAGGGGGTACAGGAGGCCACCGAGGTGGGCACAACCCACCTGGGCACGCCAGGGGGCCCTGGGGCGCCCTGGTGGGTTGTGCCCCCCTCGGGGCACCCCCCAGGTGCTGCTCTGACCCAATGGATGTCTTCTGGCCCATAAAAAATCTTCGTGGAGTTTCACGATGTTTGGACTCCGTTTGATATTGATTTCATGCGGTGTGAAAAACAAGCAAAAAACAACAACTGGCACTGGGCACTAGGTCAATAGGTTAGTCCCAAAAAATGATATAAAATTGTTATAAAATGATTGTAAAACACCCAAGAATGATAAAATGGCAGCATGAATACTTCATAAATTATAGATAGGTTGGAGACGTATCATCACCCAGGTTTGGGCCCTCTTAATGGAGGTAATACCCTACTTCCTGCTTGATTGACTTTGATGAGTATAGGGGTTACAAGAGTCGATCTACCTCGAGATCGTAATGGCTAAACCCTAGTTGTCTAGCCTATGCAAATTCTCATAGCCTCTACGGACTAAACCCTCCAGTTTATATAGACACTGGATGGACCTAGGGTTGTACAAAGTCGGTTTACAGAGGAAGGAGACTCTACATCCGGATGTCAAGCTTTCCATCCACGCAAAGGAGAGTCCCGCCCGGACACGGGGGAAGGCCTTCCATCTTGTATCTTCATGGCCCATCAGTCCGGCTCATGCCACGCAGCCCAGACACCCGAGGACCCCATAATCCAGGGCTCCCTCAGCAAGCGCAGACCTTTCCTCCTCTGTTGCCCCACGTACGGTGGTGCCCTCCTCTATTGTCGCACGCGTGGCCGCCAACCTGATCCATGAGCCAGAGAAGCCAGTAAGTTTCCTCCCTTCGGCGTTCACGTTCATGCCCACGCATCGGCCACAACACAGGTGCCTACGGAGCTTCATGCCATGGTCTAAATTGTTCTAACCGATCAAGTCCAACTGTTAATTAAGATGGCTTCTTGCTTGCTTCTTTTGCCTACAAGTGTGTTCGCTTGCTTTTTCATAGCAGTATGTTCTCATGGTTGGATCGTGGTTCTTCTACTTGATTAAGGTAGCTGCTTGTTTGCTTTTTTGTGCTCGCCCCTCACTTGCTTTTTTGTCTCATGATGCAAGCTTTATGTGTACCAAGTTGTGAATTAAGAGGACTGAGTTCTTTGGGCACAATTTAGTTATTGTGGTGAACAGAAGGACATGTAAAAAGGTAAATGGGCAATGGAGTAGGTAGGAGTGTTTTAATAGTATTTTTAGTGGTGTACAACTGTTCCAACTATTATTATTTGTTGCAATAGGGATTAGTGTAGATTGGTACAAAAGCATATCATGTTAGTCCATATTTAATTCAAAGGTAGGACTTCCTTAGTTATATTTGTTGATAGTATTGCATTTGCTACCAAGGTTCAGCTTGCAGTAGCTCAACTGGAATGTGTTGCGAACTGTGATGTGGGAAATACCTTGTTTTATATATTCTATATGTATAGGTATAGGTATATAGGTTACTTTGATGATTTGATCGGTTGTAGTGAATGGTTAGTTAGTCAGTCCATTTCCATTAACTTTAGAACAAAAATGCAGTTTCCATCTTTTAGGACATGGCTTGCTTGTTGTGTAGAATGTATGGTTAATGTTTCTCCCGTGATTATTTTGGTGTGGAACTGTGAGCCCTTCAGAAGTTGACCTCTAACTTGCTTTATAAATATATAGATTAAACTAGTTGTAGCTCGTTGTGCATCTGCTTCCCCATCACTCTTGCACTACAGGCCCTTCTAGAGCTAACTGAGATATTGTCAGTTTACAATCCTTCCGAGGAGACTTTGTGATATGCATAAGACTGACAAAGATATTTTCAAATCCCTAAAGAATTGATTGCACTTACATGCATTCTACCTATTACTTGTAGAGTGGAAGACTTCTCTTTTTGATGGACTCTGAATCTAAAGAAGCATTAGCATGCAGATAAACTGGTCGTCCACCTTGCTGGTACAAATGGACTACCCGATTTTATACATGTGTTGGATTAGATGATATTTGATGATTTGAGCCTTGTACTGGTGGGATTTGTACGTATGATCTAAACATTGACTGAAAATATTTATCAAAGTATTTGTTTCAAACAAATAAGTTTGCATAATATTACTCTTATCATCCCAGATGATGGTTATTAATTACAAAACTCTTTTTCATTTTTATTTTTGAGAATATCACATATGACATTTCCATTTTTCTCTACCTATTTGGAAAAAGGTGTAGACGAACAAACAGCCACATGAATAAAACTAATTAAGTAAAGGTGAAATTCGAAAATGAATTGCATTGTCGAACGTGCGTTGCACGTGCACGTTACTAGTACATACAAAATAATCAGGCACCTGAGGCACAAGGGCTCCCAATAATAAGTGATATAAATGGTACTCCCTCCGTAAAGAAATATAAGAGTGTTTAGATCACTAAGTAGTGATCACTAAAGTAGTATATTTCTTTACAGAGGGAGTAGTATGTAAAGATGTAAACACTCATTTAATGCTGGAGATATGGCGTATGATCTTCGGCGATTCGCTTCCTATGAAGAGTGATTGCATATATCAAAGTGTGAGATATATGCTTCCTTGGTATGGATTTAATGCTGGATTTATTTTCTTTTATTTATGATTGATACACCGCCCCGTTAAGGTGAACTATTAAGAATAAGAAGAGACAAGGTGGGCAGCGGGAGGAGACCGAGACAATACGCCAACACCATGGCCGTGGGCACATCCTCTTCGATGCTCGGCGGCGCTCTCCTCCTCGTACTTGTCCTCTCCTCGGCCATTGATGTTCACGGCGGGTCAAGCTCCAGCGCCGCGCCACGTTCCCCGCTGGACGAGCTCTGCATCGGCCTAGGCGGCTGGTACGTCACGCCGGACACGTGCGTGTCCGCGCTCTGCATTGACCCCTCCTGCCGCTCCGCACGCGGCTTGCCGGAGCTCGCGGTTCTGGCCACCAAGCTGACGGTGGCCAACGCCACAGTAGCCAAAACCAGCATCGAGTCTGCGCTCGCCCATGCCAAGAACGTCAAGGCCAGGAAGGTCATGCGGTCGTGCCTGCAGCTCTACGTCGGCGCCGTCCCGCGGCTGCAGTGGGCGGCGCGGTCGGTCGCTGCGGGGCGATATAGCAGCGTTCCGGACGTGCTAGAGGCAGCCTATAGGGACGTCTCACAGGGGTGCAGCAGCTTGGCCGGCGAGGTGGCGCTTCCCAAGGAGAACAACGAGTTCTTCATGATGGCCTTCGTCGTGCACGCCGTCGTCGATCGGGTGCAGCGTATTATCGGCTGACCAATCGATGAATAACCCGCTCTTCCCCTCCATAATAAGATAAAGACGCTATCAAGCCTCTAACATGCAATGCTGTATTGTGGGTTTATGAGTATTAGCTAAACTCTCGTGCTGTTTATTCATCTCTTTTCTTAGACCTCCTACAACCATAGTTGGCATATATCGGGTGCAGCGTACTCTCGCACTTATACGTTTACAGACGCCTCCGGACACTCCTGCTGGCATTGATCGGGTAGTCTTCATATAATTGTAGTACGCATACCTCCCCGCACCTAAATCCATGTAAGCCATGCAGCAATGTAACACGTTGATTAACATCACAAACAAGTTCATCAGACATAGAAATATAGATAGATTCGAGCATAGATAGTTGATCCGACCGACAAATCGGACCTAAAATAGACAAAGTTCACCGATTAAAGTAGAAACAAATAAAAAGACAATGTAGAGGGCAAGATCACCACTTCTTGGCCGGGCCCTTGCCCTTGCCATCGCATTCTGCGTCCCGACGGTCCATCTCCTCCGTGTACGCGTCCGTGGCGGGAGGATCGGTGTCGTCATTGCCGTCTGATCTGGTGGTGCCGCTTTCCAACACAGATGAGATATAGCCCGCAAGACGGCGGATGGCGCGGCTCTGCTCCAGGGCGTGGCATGCCGCCTTCGCCTTGGCGCTCTCCTTCTCCCTCGCAAGGCACTCCAAAGTCTCGAGCCCGAGGCGGAGCGGCTTCGCATTCTTCCACCGGAGGTGCCTCACGTCGGTCTCCGCTGTGGTGAGTGAGCGCTGCATCACCTTGCGGAGGGGCTGTAGGGCGAATAAGCCGCAGGTGGCGCGTCGGACGTGACCAGCTCGTGTATGGGCGCGAGCAGGACGCGGGGCGCGCCGGGTCCGTGGCGAGTAGCGCGTGCGTGTGTGTGTGTGTGTTGCACGAGTGTGTCCGTCCATGTGTACGCAGTGTGCGGGTGTGTCACCACAGTCTGTTGGCGAGCTGCGCGGGGTGATCGCGTGTGATCCGTGGGAGGCCTACCGTGACCCGTGCGCTCTGGAGTGCGTCGTGGAAGCGAGCGTGGCGGGCGGATCGCGGGCGCGTGGGAGGAGGGAGCGTGGGTGTGTGCCCGGTCGCAGGCTCCGGGTATAAAGCCACGACGGCGATCGTTGTAACGGTGTGGTGGGGTTTTGAGTTCGTGCTCAGGTTAAGGCGTTCGAGCGCCGGGAAAAACACCTCACCGTGTCCATGCCCTTCTTCCTTTGATCTTCTTCTTCCTCGGTGAGAGCTACGACGACAGAGAGAGAGCAAGGAGGAGCGCGGCGAGGGGCTGGAGGTTCCAACAGTTGGTATCAGGGCTTCGTGGGGGAGGGAGCTCGCCGGCGATGTCCATCTTGCCGTACGCCGACGGATCGGGCAGCGCGGTGTCGCACCCAGCGCCCGTGCTCACGGGCGACAACTACACCACTTGGGCCATCAAGGTGGAGGCGGACCTTGATGCCGCTGGGCTGTGGGAAGCGGTGGTGCCGCCGGAGGACGCGGCGTCGGCGGTGATCGCCAAGAAAGACAAGCCGACGAGGGCTTACCTGCTCCGGGCGCTCGCCGACGACCTTCTGCTTCAGGTGGCCGCGAAGAAAACCGCGGCGGAGATCTGGAGCAGCTTGAAGGCTCGGTTTGTTGGGGCAGATCGTGTGCGCGCGGCGCGGCTGGGAACATTGCGCGGGGAGTGGGAGCTCCTGCGCATGGCGAGCGACGAGTCGCTGGACGCGTTCGCGAGGAAGATCAGCGGGATGGCAGCGCGTTTTGCAGGGCTCGGAGCGACCCTGGAGGACGCAGCCATGGTGAAGAAGCTGCTGGACTGTGTCCCCGATCGTTTCTACGCGGCGGTCGCTGGCATGGAGCAGTTCTGCAACCTGGAGGAGCTGTTGTTCGACGATGCTCTGGGGCGCCTGAAGGCGTTCGACGAACGGCTGCGTCGGCGCGGGCAGGCGGGCGGCGAACGCACGGACGGGCAGCTACTGTACACGGAAGCACAGTGGCGTGCCCGGGATCGACATCGGGGAGGTGCTCGGGATGACGACGACGCACACAGCAACGCGTCGGGCTTCGACAACAGCCGGCGCGACCGCTGCTACAAGTGCGGCGAGCGTGGCCACTTCAAGCGGGAGTGCCCGCTGTTGAAGAGGGCGCCGGCGGCGGATCATGCAATGGTGAGGACGCAGACGTCGAGGACGGTGGCCTTCTCTGAGCTGCGGCTTAGGGAGGTGAAATGTAGGGCGAATAAGCCGCAGGTGGCGCGTCGGACGTGACCAGCTTGTGTATGGGCGCGAGCAGGACGCATCGGGCGCACCGGGTCCGCGGCGAGTAGCGCGTGCGTGCGTGTGTGTGTTGCACGAGTGTGTCCGTGCATGTGTACGCAGTGTGCGGGTGTGTCACCACATGCCGTTGGCGAGCTGCGCGGGGTGATCGCGTGTGATCCGTGGGAGGCCTGCCGTGACCCGTGCGCTTTGGAGCGCATCGTGGGAGCGAGCGTGGCGGGCGGATCGCGGGCGTGAGGGTGGAGGGAGCGTTGTTGTGTGCCCGATCGCAGGCTCCGGGTATAAAGCCGCAACAGCGATCGTTGTAACTATGCGGTGGGGTTTTGAGTTCATGCTCAGGTTAAGGCGTTCGAGCTCCGGGAAAAACACCTCGCCGTGTCCATGCCCTTCTTCCTTTGATCTTCTTCTTCCTCAGTGATAGCTACGGCGACAAAGAGAGAGCAAGGAGGAGCGCGGCGAGGGGCTGGAGGTTCCAACAGGGGTGCCTCCTTCGAATCCACCGGCACGGAGCGTACGCGCTGCCGGGACAAGACAGGGCTCCGCCGCGGCCTTCGCCCACTGCCGCTCGCATCAAGCGGCCTTCGAATCTGACTTCGGCATGCGCATGTGCACCGGAGCCGAGAGCACCTAGTGCTGCCCAAGCGGTGCCGGAGCCAGAGGAGAAGGGGAGGGGCCACCCTGCATTGGATCTGGAGTGGGCCAGAGAAAGAAGGGCGAGCCCGACCAACATTGCAGCGGTGCGACCTAGAGGATCTTGCGACGCCACTGACTCGAGCTTTTGTTGGTGTCCAGCCACGACCGCTCGTTGGTGATGCGGAGCGCGAGCTTCTCATTGTCGGGAGCATTGCTACTGGAGTCGGAGTCCTACTCCTTCACAAGGACGTCCCAGTCCATGCAATTGGACTCTTTGCCTGACTCGTCGCCGGGCTTTGCCTGGTGTTGGGGAACGGAGTAATTTCAAAAAAAATTCCTACGTACACGCAAGATCATGGTGATGGCATAGCAAGGAGAGGGGAGAGTGTGTCCATGTACCCTCGTAGATCGAAAGCGGAAGCGTTAGAACAACGCGGTTGATGTAGTCGTACGTCTTCACGGCCCGACCGATCAAGCACCGAAACTACGACACCTCCGAGTTCTAGCACACGTTCAGCTCGATGATGTCCCTCGAACTCCGATCCAGCCGAGTGTCGGGGGAGAGTTCCGTCAGCACGACGGCGTGGTGACGATCTTGACGTACTACCGACGCAGGGCTTCGCCTAAGCACCGCTACGATATTATCAAGGTGGATTATGGTGGAGGGGGCACCGCACACGGCTAAGAGATCCAAGGGATCAATTGTTGTTCTGCCTAGAGGTGCCCCCCTGCCCCTGTATATAAAGGAGCAAGGGGGGAGGGGCCGGCCGGCCTAGTAGGGGCGCGCCAAGGGGAGTCCTACTCCCACCGGGAGTAGGACTCCCTCCTTCCTTGTTGGAGTAGGAGAAGGGGGAAAGAGGGGGAGAGGAGGAAGGAAAAGGGGGCCGCACCCCTTGTCCAATTCGGACCAGAGGGGGGCTGCGCGCCTCCTTCCTTTCGGCCTCTCCCCTCTATTCCCGTATGGCCCAATAAGGCCCATATAGTCCCCGGCGAATTCCCATAACTCTCCGGTACTCCGAAAAATACCCGAATCACTCGGAACCTTTCCGAACTCCGAATATAGTTGTCCAATATATCGATCTTTACGTCTCGACCATTTCGAGACTCCTCGTCATGTCCCCGATCTCATCCGGGACTCCGAACTCCTTCGGTATATCAAAACTCATAAACTCATAATATAACTGTCATCGAAACCTTAAGCGTGCGGACCCTACGGGTTCGAGAACAATGTAGACATGACCTAGAACTATTCTCGGTCAATAACCAATAGCGGAACCTGGATGCTCATATTGGCTCCCACATATTCTACGAAGATCTTTATCGGTCAAACCGCATAACAACATACGTTGTTCCCTTTGTCATTGGTATGTTACTTGCCCGAGATTCGATCGTCGGTATCCAATACCTAGTTCAATCTCGTTGCCGGCAAGTCTCTTTACTCGTTACGTAATGCATCATCCTGCAACTAACTCATTAGTCACATTGCTTGCAAGGCTTATGGTGATGTGCATTACCGAGAGGGCCCAGAGATACCTCTCTGACAATTGGAGTGACAAAACTTAATCTTGAAATACGCCAACTCAACATGTACCTTCGGAGACACCTGTAGTACTCCTTTATAATCACCCAGTTACGTTGTGACATTTGGTAGTACCCAAAGTGTTCCTCCGGTAAACGGGAGTTACATAATCTCATAGTTACAGGAACATGTATAAGTTATGAAGAAAGCAATAGCAATATACTAAACGATCAAGTGCTAGGCTAACGGAATGGGTCATGTCAATCACATCATTCTCCTAATGATGTGATCCCATTAATCAAATGACAACACATGTCTATGGTTAGGAAACATAACCATCTTTGATTAATGAGCTAGTCAAGTAGAGGCATACTAGTGACTATATGTTTGTCTATGTATTCACACATGTATCATGTTTCCGGTTAATACAATTCTAGCATGAATAATAAACATTTATCATGAAATAAGGAAATAAATAATAACTTTATTATTGCCTCTAGGGCATATTTCCTTCAGTCTCCCACTTGCACTAGAGTCAATAATCTA